TAATCTGTGAATAATAAACTCGAATAGAATGATTCGATTTTGCTATGTTATTAAATTAATATTATTATTTTATTATCTTAATTCTTTTTTCTTGTGTTTAGTTACGATACTTTTGTCACAGCCCCTCGTTTGTTGTCCTCTTCTCCCTCTCTGCCTACGGTTTACCGGGCAGTTCTATTTGACGATATATATATATATATATATTCTCCATTGATAATAACAAACTCTTTTGTTTGTCTAAATAAGTATACGTTTCTTTTGCTACTTTTTGAACAGGCAGTTGGCCCGGCCGGACAAGTACTCTGGTAGCCTAGATTGTCAGGAAAACTGGGAACATTTTTTTGTGACGGTTGTTGTGCGTGCAATGAGGAGACGAGGAGAAGAAGAAGAAGAAGAAGAAGAAGAAGAAGAGCTAAATAGTAAAAGGAAATAGCAAATAATAAACCAAGAAAAGTCGGATAAGGCAAGATCCAGTGTAATATCTGTTCCTGTAGAGAAAAACGAAGTGTAGTTTCTGTCCTGGGTCAAGATCACACCGCCTTCTTCCCCCGAATAAAACGCCTGGTCATACTCGGTGCACCTAGCCTGAAAGTTGAGCTTGCAGGTGTTCTATTTGGGTGAAGACGATAGCACGGATTTACGAGAGATCAACCGTTGGGCTTTGCCATCTGCGGACTGTATCGCATAATCCGTGCAAGTGGGATCTCTGATCTGCTTTTTTTTTTTTTTTTTTTGCATTCGTTTTCTCGATTTATGCGTGATCTCGTAATCCTTCAATGTGGAATCTCCGATCTGTTTTTTTTTTTCTCGTTGCGCAGGGGCAATGCTAATCTTCTTTGTATCGCTCCAATTTTAACGGATGCCCCGAAGAAACTGATCTGTTTTTTGGGGAATGGAATCTCTGATCCCTGGTCCGTTGGGCCGGTTAAAAAAAAAAAAGAGTAAAAATCAAATATAAAAAATCGGACTGGGCAAATGAAAGGTGGAAAGGGAGACATGAGGGCAAAGTATGAAATTTAGAAGCATTGTATTATATTTCATCTGCAAACCAAATAAGCATATAAAGCAAATATCCTTTTGTTCCAGTTTGCATGAAGAGAGGTAATGTGAGATAGGACCAGGATTTGCTATTGCCCAGAGGTGTGTGATTCTCCCCTTTTTCCCCAAGGGGAGTAGCCCCTAATACTTTTTTTTCTGAGTTGTCTCCATCAGGATTCGAACTCAATTAATCTCGTTATCAGCAAAACAGTTAGTTACGTGTGTCTACCATCTTGCCATGAGGCGGATACACTTCTCTTTACTCTTCTTTATCCCTCCCTCACATGTTCTTCCATTCTTTCTTGCTTCCTCCCGTCCTCCTCCCCTCTCTACCCTTGTTCTCCC